CCTGCCCCTCTCGTCGATGTCGCGCTTGGCGAGGTGACTGGCGTGCTGCTTCGCGCGGTCGGCCAGCTTCTCAAGCAGCAGTGGGTGCCAGCACGCCAGGCCCCCATGCTGCAGCATCCTCAGCCAGCGCCCAGCCTCCATGCTGCAGGAGGTGCCGCCTCCTTCCCCTGAGCGGGCCTCCTCGTCCTGCTGCACCTTCCTGACTCTCCTCGGGACCGCCGCCACCAGCTGGGGCAAGTAGCAGATCGCGTCGACCCTGGCCCTTGGTGCTTTCAGCTGCGCCATGGCTCCAAGCGCGTGGGCCACCCTGGCCATCCACGCTGCCTCTGGCGTGAGCCTCGGCGACCTGGGGTCCTGCACCCCGCTGCGCTTGACCAGCTTGGTGGAGAAGCCGTCCGCTCTACCAACATACCTGGCCCTCTGCTCCTCCAGCTGGTATACGTCGACCCACTCGTCCTCCGCGCACTCCGGGAAGGTGGCGAAGGCGGCTGTGAGGGCTCCCTTAGCCCCCTCCCCCGCGGCGTCTTGGGCCCGCACGTCCTGCTGCAGGTGCTGGGCCTGCCCCGCCGCGGAGGCTGCCTGCCTCTTCTCGACCCAGAGGCCGGGGGGCCTCACGTGCACTCCTTCAGCCGCTTCAACCTGAAGGGGACTACCCGCGATTCCGTACGGTGCCTGGCTCGGATGTGCACTGCCAGTCCCAACATGGGGAGGAATGTCCGCCTGCTCCTCCTGCTCCGCGCTGCCCGCGGCACTGCTGCCCCCTCTCTCCGCTGCGTCGGCTCTATGCGCTCCTGGCGCCAGAGCCCCGAGGTGCGCTGGCTGGCCCTCGCTGCGAGGTGCCTCGTCGCCATTCTCCTGCCGTAGCCCGCAGCTGTCGAGGAAGCTCTTCCACTCCACGCCTTGCTGGGCGCGGCACCTCATCAGCTTCTCGTCCGTCACGCAGGACTGCGGCGCAGATGCGGTCGGGATCCCGCTGCCAAGGGGGTCCCCTTTCTCCGCCGCAGTCACCTCCTCACCCTCCTTGCCCTCCACTGGGCAGGGAGGCTCTTGGCCTGCTCTGGCTGCGCGCAGACCTGCTGCTCCACTGCTGCTGCTGGGCTGAGAGGCCTCCTCCTCGGCGACAGAGATCGCCTGCCTCTTCTCGACCCAGAGGCTGGGGGGCCTCACGTGCACTCCTTCAGCCGCATCAACCTGAAAGGGCCAGCCTGCTATTCCGTACAGTGCCTGGCTCGGAGGTGCACCGCCAGTCCCAGCATGGGGAGGTATGTTCGCCCGTGCCTCCTGCGCAGCGTAGCCCGCCGCGCCGCTGCCTTCTTTGCCCGCTGCGTCGGCGCCCTGCACTCCTGGCGCCAGAGCCTCGAGGCGCACTGGCTGGACCTCAACGCCAGGTTCAGCGCCGTGCCCTTCTGCGCCCACTTCTCGCCTTAGCCCGCAGCTGCCGAGGATGCTCTGCCACTCCTCGCCATGCTGGACGCAGCACCTCATCAGATTCACTTCCGTCACGCAGGCCGGCGGCGCAGGTGCGATCGGGAGCACGCTGCTTAGCGGCCCCCATCTCTCCTCCGCAGCCACCCCCTCCTCTCCCTGGCCCCTCACTGGCCTGGGGAGCTCCTGGCCTGCTGCGCGCTGTCCTGCTGCGCCACCGCTGCTGCTGGGCTGAGGGGCCTCCTCCTCAGCACGTGGGGTGCTCCTCGCCGCGGCCTCGCCCTCGAACCTCAGCACCGAGGCGAGCTGCTCCTGCACCCTCAGCCTGGCTTGCCTCCAACTGCTGCCGTGGTCTCTCTCACAGCACCCTTGTGGTCGAACCTCAGGGAAGGTCCGCGGCTTCTGGACCAGCCTGAATCGCTCCTCCTCTTGCTGCCTGCGGATCTCGAGAATCACCGCCGAGTGCGGGTACACTGGCGAGGCCTCCACCACCCGCACACCCAGCGCAGCCAGTCCCTTGGACACCAGGAAGAAGTCGATGGTCCTCCCCGACGCTGCGCACGTGGGCGAGGCAGGCCTGACCACCTTGCCGTCGAACATGTCGGGTACCCCGCCCGCCTGCAGCTCTTCCTCCGTGAGGTTCCAGTCACCGCCCACTACGAAGTCCCTGCGACACTGCCTCAACCTCCTTGCCAGCCTCCTGAGTCTGGACACGTTGCTCTCATTGAGGCCGACCCCCGCCTCCAGGTAGATGTTGGCGAGCAGGAAGCCGCTGCGCAGCACGCCCGACACCCAACACAGGTGCACACGCCCAGCCACCAGCACCGCTGCCTGCTGGTCCTGCACCTCCGCCATGCCGTGGCTCCTCCTCACCATGGTGAGGAGGCCTCCAGTGCTGAGGCCTCCTGCCGCTGACGGCACCGCGGGCGTACCTCTCGCCCGCCATCCTTGGCTTCGCAGCTGCGCCTCCGCATCACTGCTCCTTCCCTCCAGGAGCCTCGTCTCCTGGACCAGAATGGCGTCGCAGTCCTGCACCTCGCTCACCGCCATGCACTTGCCCAGGTTGCAGAACGCATTGACGTTGACCGTGCAGATCCTCCAGACCCCACACTTCATGCTAGGACTCCTCCTCCAACTGCTTGACCTCCGTCCGCATCTTCTTGGCGTCACCCAGCAGCTGCTCGGCTGCTTCCCTCTTGGCAGGGTCCTCCATCCCGCATGCGATGTCCTGCCACACCTGCTGCGCCGCCTGCGACACGCCAGGCCCCTCCTCCTTGGGAGCGTCCACCTGCTGCGCTGCCGCTGGCACCGCCGAAGGCACGGGGACCGCCGCAGCCGCAGGCACGCGAGGGGACGCCCCTGCAGCGGCGGGAGCGCCAGGCAAGCCACTGAGCTCCGCCAGCACCTTCCCGAGCTTCGCGATCTCGTCCCTCGACAGGCGGCCGATCGCCTCCTGAATCGACTCCAGTGAGGCCGTTGGAGCCGCTCTCGGCTCGGCGGCAGCTGCCGCCGCCTCAGCCTCCTCGGCCGCCATCCTGGCGCGCTGAGCCGCCAGCGCCTCACGTGCCTTGGCCGCCGCCTCATCGCACTCCTTCCGCAGCAGCACCAACTTGTCCGCGAGGCTGACCGACTCGTTGATGGCCGCCACCGCCTTGGCCTTCGCCTGCTCCAGCTGGCCCTCCATCTTCTTGACCTGCACGACCTTGGCGTCCGCCAGCACCTGGGCCGCTTTGACCGTCTTGTCCTTGGACAGCTCGGCCCCCAGCCCGCCCTCACGCAGCCTCCGTGCCTGCAGCAGCTGCTCGCGGACCTTCGGGGGCAGGAGCGCGGCGGCGAGGGCGAAGTCGGCCTCCGCCATGCACACGAAGCCACAGCGCTGCTCCTCGCTGAGCACCACGGCGCCACCAGCTTCACGGCCTCCACCTTCTCCACCTCGCCACCACGGGGCACGAGTGGGAGGCTTGCCACCGCCTGCCCCACGCCCGCCGAGCCCGCCGCCAGCGCCGCCAGGAGCACCACCACCGCCACTGCCTGCATGCCACCCACGTAGCGGAGGAAAGGCGCCCAGCTGCCGCGGCGCTGGCCACCCCGCAGGCTGGCACCCCTTGCGACAGCACGTCCTCTCGGCGAAGTTGTAGTAGTCGCACACCGAGCACTTCCACTTCGCAGGCCACGCCGCACGGCCACCTCCCCCACGCCCAGCACCCACGCCGCCGCTCCCCGCCATGGCGCGCGTGAGTTGGGAAGGAGGCCGCCCGACTGCCAGAGTGCACACACTCTTGCCTGCGCACGGTAGTGCGATCCAGTGAAGCACGGAGGCTGAAAGCCCCCCGAGCAACCCATCTTGAGCCAAAATGGCTACGGAGGAGGAGGAGGAGGAGGAGGCGGAGGAGGAGGAGGGGGAGGAGGGGGAGGGGGAGGAGGCGGAGGAGGAGGAGGAGGAGGCGGAGGAGGAGGAGGCGGAGGAGGGGGAGGGGGAGGGGGAGGGGGAGGCGGAGGCGGAGCCCAGAGCAACAGCATGCTACACCTGCCCGATCCCCCTCCCCGATGTACGAGCCGCCCGGGCCCCGTCCATCGCCCCTGGACGCACCCCCCGCCAGGCGCGGGCCTCCTAATTGACGCCATCACTGATGCACCCTTCCTCCATCCCCGCCTCCTTGCCCCACTTCCCGCCTCCTCCTCCATTCCCGCCTCCTTCCCCGACTCCCTCCATTTTCCTGCCTGCTTCCCCGCCTTCCTCCTTCCCCGCCTCCTTCCCCGCCTCCCTCCTTCCCCGCCTCCTTCCCCGCCTTCCTCCATTCCCGCGCCTTCTTCCATCCCCGCTTCCCTCCCATTTATCGCCCCACCTCCACTCGCTGTCCCCGCGTTGGCAACTCGGGGCGTTCTCAGGTGGGGTCGGTGAACAAAAACGGCGGGAGCCGGACGCAGGCATTACGGAACCACATGCGGAGCAATAGCAGGACCAGGCCCAGAAACTCCTTGGGAAGTTGCATGTCTGCTTCGCATTCCACAGGCACAGTCGGAACGACCCCATCGCACGTAGAAGATAATCACCACGTTCTCACCACAGCATCGCCACTTGACCACAACACTATCACCACATGTGTCACTGCACTCGTCTGCCGAGGATTCGAAAGGTCCGAAACGCCCATCTCGCCGAAGGGATACGCCCTGACCGCCAGCGCAGTCATGACCCAGCCAGTCGCTGCTTGCAGCAGTTCCCGCGCATGGACCCCAAACAGCGATCAGGACGCAACGGGAGGTCGTAGCAGGCCGGAGGAAGCGCTCAGAAGCTACCAGGAGGCCATAGTATGATAGGGCTCATACGAGGACACGGGAAAACATGTGAGGCAACAGGCGGCTGTGGCAGCCCACCGGAAGCGCGGGCGTCGCGCCTTGTATGGTCGCCAACGCGAACGTCGCACGCTGCGTTAGCCAATGCGTCATGATGTGATTCTGAATCCACAGCAATGAAATCCGAAACATGCACATCGAATAGTCACCTGGATATCACTCTGAAGATGCGCCCGCGTGACCCATGGAGACCCCCCTCGGGGGCGGTGCCGCCGCCACGCCTCCCGAGCAGGAAGACCACCTCCCCGAGCCCGTGCGCTTGGGCGAGGGGCTCGCCTGCGGGGGCACGAGCACGGGGGGATGCAGGAGCGAGGGCGGAACGTTCGACCGCGTCCGTTTGGCAACCTGCGGCAGTCACACGCCCGTGTTGGCGCGCACGTGGCGTGACCCCTCTCGGAGGCCCTTTGGGTGGAGCCCTCGGGAGCCCAGTGAAGCTGGCGTGACCACGTGCTGGCCCCGCGGCCCCGTGGGGCCATGTGACTCCGTGTAGGCCATGGCCGCCCCTCCAACACGGAGCCCTTGTGACGGGAGCAACACGGGCGGCGGCAGTTGTACGGCAGGTCAGTGTCGTGACGGCCCGGCGTTGGCTTCTGACGCCGCGTGGATCGCCCAGCCTCAAACCGTCTGGCGGCTTCTCGATCGCCAGATCGTTCCACAGTGGCCAGCTCTGGGCCACCTGCAGCGTTCAGCCTTGCGCGCCCGCTGCAGGATCGCCGCTGGCTGAACACGACGCGAACCTGCCGTACAGGTCCACATCCTTCCTCCTCCTTCTCTGATTGCTCTCCCCCTTCCTGGAGAAGGTGAGGGGGAGGAACGGAGGTGGATCTGTGTAGTTGTCCTCCTTTCCGCCGAAAAGAGCGAGCATCCTCCCATATCGACTTCGGACGTGGCGTTTTTGCTGAATCCTGGCCCGCGTCCCAAGTTCGGGCATCCGAGGGGTCTGTTTTTCGTGCCTCAGCCGTCAACCCAAACTGCCGGGAATGGAAGACAGGCCATGGGGAAGGCTGGGAGGGAGAGGCGAGAAAAGAGAGGCTTCCGACGGCTGGGAGGGAAAGGAGAAAGGCTTCCGAGCGCCGAGCTGGAGGGGCGCCGATGTGGAGGGACCCGCTGAGCCGGAGGGGCGTGGTGCTGAGAAGGCCAGCCTCCGGTCGGGGAGCAATGCCAGCATAAACATTAAGAGTTTCGGAGGTCCGCGCTGTGTTGTCACCTTGGCGCGGGACCCCCGCTTCCCCAGCGGGCAGTGCGGGAGGCACCGCCGGAATTTAAGACGCCCAACGGCCAGGACCGCCCCACGCCGTGGGAGAGGCGGGCCGCAGCCAGTGGCCTGACCGGGCAGGGCGCCCGTTGAGCACGCTGAGGAGCAGAAGGCCCCAGTCCTCAGGTGTTCGTCCTCCCCCTCCTCCTCCTCCTCCTCCTCCTCCTCCTTCTCCTCCTCCTCCTCCTCCTCTTCCTCCTCCTCGGCAGCACGGGGCGCCCAGCGACCCCCGAAGGTCTCGACCCGTTCCCAGGAGGTCCTGGCTCGTCATCCCGAGTGGTCTTCTCCCGTTCCCGAGGCCCGGTGCACGGGCCCCCACGAAGGCCGAGACGTGCAACACAACCTCCCGTCGTGATCTCTTTCAGGGACTCGAGGGGGTCCGGGTCATCAGCGTGCGGGGCTGGGCCGACGTGCTGAGCATCGTCGTCTACGGGGGCGTCAGCAGCCGGGACCACCGCGCGAGCCTCTACGACGACGCGGCCGCGTGAGCCGCCCAGTCGGGGCTGCCAGCGGCCGCCGCGTGGGACTTCAGACGCGAGCCCTGCGACCCCGAGCTTTTCGCGGTCCGCGACGTGTGCTACAGTCAACCAATCTACCCAGACCCCCTCGAGTCATGAAAACATCACGACGGGATTTGTTTCGCTCTTTTCGGCCTCGGGGGCCTCTTGATTATCGGGCCTCGGGACCGTGAAAAAACGACTCCTGATGAGAAACCGGTCTCGGGGGATGGGTCGAGACCTCTGGGGGTCGACGTCGTGAAGAAGTTATGACGTCGGAGGTCTGGGTAATGAGGATACACAATAAGGATGTACGTAAGGGCCTTGGAAGGCCATGCCTACACTTTGCGGGCGGGGTGCGGCCAGCGAAAGCGGCCAAGGATGGGCCGACGGGGAAGGATGCAAGAGTACCCTTGGGATGGTTGCCCGTCCTTACTATGCGGGTTGACTGTACCACCCACGGGGAGGGGCTCCTGGACTTCGCTGACCTGCAGCAGCTGGAGGCCAGGACTTTCGCCATGGACACGGCCATCGGCGACCACGTTGCGATCGGTTTGGAGCTCTGGCGGGAGCTCTGGACGGAGGTGCAGACTGTGGTCAAGTCAGACGAGCTCAACCCGCCGCTCGAGACGGAGGACTGGGACGAGACCTTCTGCCAGGCCGTGGACAGGCACAGGGACGAGTGGGACGCCGCAGCGGCCCGCCAGGACGTGCAGGCTGTGTGAGCCCTCTGGTGCGACAGGCTGGAAGAGCCTGCCAGCGAGACAGGCCGCAGCGCAGACACGGCACCTTCTCAAGCGCTGGGCCCACCACGCCCCCCAGGGGGGCCTCGGGCCGGCTCCGACGGCCTCGGCCTTTTCGCTCTACAGTATCCGCAGCGGGGCTCAGAGCCTCATCGGCGACGGCGCCCTCGGCGAGGGCACCGCAGCCAACGGTGAAGCTCTGGAAGCGCCCCGCACAACAGTCCTCGCGAAGCCCCGGGAGCCCGCCGTGGGGGACAAGACTGCAGCGCCCCGGCCCGCAGCGTGGAGGGAGCGGCAACAGGCCGGAGACCTCAAGGCACCCTTCCGGTAATGCGCCACTGCGGTTGAAAAATGCCAACCGAGACTGCGTAAAAACCGATGTGCCAAGGCTCAGAAACCTATGTGCCAAGGCTCAGTCCACCTCGTCGTAACGAAAAACCTTTGGGCGTTCAGAAGGGTTTTTGCTTTTTTCTCTCCCCGTTTAACCCTGAATCCCTACATTCCTTTATTAGGGCTTTTGGATTCTGTGGCAGACGAACCCCCCCGCTCTCTGCGAGGGCGGCTGCAGGCCGGCGCGGCCGACCCTCGGCCGACCCCAAGGCCAGCGTCGTGGCAGCGGTGCGGCAGTGGAACAAGAAGCAGCGCCCGCGGCTGGAGCGGCACCCGATCGGCGACTGAATCATCTCTTAACGGGCGAAGAACGGTATAAAATAAACTTTTTCGCCGTCGGGGACACCTGCCCCAGGGCGGCTGGAAAGTATATACCCTTACTGTGGCACCGTAGGGGTATAAACTTTCCAGCCGCCCAGGGGCAGGTGTCCCCGACGTCGAAAAAGTTTATTTTATACCGTTCTTCGCCCGCTGAATCTCCGCGAGGTGAGGGGCGTACCTGAGCACGTGGCGCCGCCGGACCTCCTCTGGCAATTCGAGGCGGCGGGCCTCCGGGCAGCCCTCTGGAAGACCGCTGGCACCGCGGCCGGACCTGGGCAGAGCAGCTCGCAAGGGCCCCGGTCATCCTGCTGGACCTCCTCGCACAGTTGGCAAACGCCATCAGGGACACCAGGACGTGGCCCGCGGCCCTCAAGGCCCAGGAGGTTACCACGATCCCCAAGACGAGCGGAAAGCCCGACCTTCGGCCCATCGTCGTGGCCCAGTCTGTCGCCTGGGCCATCAGCAGGGCCGCAGTCAGCAAGTACAAGAGGTGGGCCCACCAGGCTCAACCCGCGGACGCGTACGAGATCCTGCTCACAGTGGACCTCGCCATTGACAAGGCTGCAAAGGACGGCTCGCCGCTGCACATCCGGCAGAGCGACCTCTCGAACTGCTTCACTCGGATTGAGCCAGAGATCGTGGTCGAGGTGGCCGTGCTCTTCGGCATGCGCCGGATGGGCGCCGTGTGCTGCGCGGCCTGGCACAAGGCGACCCTGCCTCTCCGCTCGGCGCAGCTATCCTGGTGGGCGTCCACGCGAGCAAGGTCGGCCCCGTGTGCGGCGTGAGCATGGGCACCTACGTGGACGACAGGTCCACTTACGCCAACGACCAGGGCGACCTGGACGGCGCCGAAGCCCTGCTCCAGCGCCTGGACGAGCTGAGCGGCCAGATGGTGGACGACAGCAAGCAGGACAGGGCGGCGGCCAACGTCGCCGGGGGCCAGCACAGGAACCACCTCGGCCTGCTGGGCGTGCGCCTGGACCTCACTGGCCGCAAGCCGCTGGCGGCCGCCGCGCGGGCCCGCAAGCGGGTGGCCAGCTTGCTCGACAAGCTGCGCCGGCCAGGCACCGCGGCGAAGGCAGGGCGCCTCGGGCGCGAGGCAAGGGCACGGCACGTCATGGCCCTCGCGGGCAGCACTCGGTGGGACGCGCCTGGGTGCTCATTCCCTAAGGAGACCGTGACCCGCGTCAGGGCGGCCATGGGACTGGCACTCGAGAGCAGACACAGGTACGCAGCTGGGCGCCACAAAGGCGCGGCATGGCGCATGGAGGCCAAGGCCTGGAAGTTCGAGCCTCACGGCCTCGCGCTCTCCGGCACCGTGAGCATGCTCAGGCGCGTCGACCGCGCCCATGTGGGCCCGCGGTGGATGCGCGGTGGGACCAGAGCGACGGCAGCGGCGAGCGCCGGCTGGGCCCGGTCCGCGGGGTCCTCGACGCCATGGGCTGGCGCCTGGGCCCGTCGCCCTTCGAGGTCGTTTTCGGCGAAGGGGGCTTCCACCTCGCGGAGGTGTCGAAGAGCTTCCTGGACCCTTGCGCCCGCGAGACGCGGAGGGCCCACGTGAGGCGGACTTGCAGACGGCTCTAGAGGAGGGTGCCGGCCGAGGTGCCGAGCCTGGGCGTGAAGGCGCTGCGGCGCTTCGTCTGGACGAGGCGCCGACGGCCGCCGGGCGGAGGCGGCGGTGGCAGTGCTGCGTGGACGCTGAGCGCTTCCCTGGCCGCGACCGCCCGGGTCACGTCACGGACGATGTGGTGCTACAACAGGCAAGGGACATTGCCTTGCAGCAGAGGCCACCACCTTGCTCGGCCTCACTGACACCGGCAGCTTTGCCGTCAAGAAGTTTGAGGAATGGGTCGCCAGGACTGCCCTGCCTGCCACGCAGCAGCGACTGCTTAGCACCCGGGTGTGGCGGCGCGACGCCGCCGAGCATGGGCGGCAGCGCCGCGGCCTCCACGGGGCCACCATCGGCGGGCGCCTGCCGGCCAGTCCCACGAAGGGCTCTGCGCGGCCGCGGAGGACAGGGGGGGAAGCTCGCTTTGGACACCCTGCGCCTCAAGGGCCAGGTCCCGAAGC